TAATAAGGGGGGATATGATCTCCATGTATAATACATAAGGGGGATATGATCTCCATGTATAATACATAAGGGGGGATATGATCTCCATGTATAATACATAAGGGGGGATATGATCTCCATGTATAATACATAAGGGGGGGGGGGGATATGATCTCCATGTATAATACATAAGGGGGGGGGGATATGATCTCCATGTATAATACATAAGGGGGGGGGATATGATCTCCATGTATAATACATAAGGGGGGATATGATGATCTCCATGTATAATATACATAAGGGGGGATATGATGTCCCATGTATAATACATAAGGGGGGGGGATATGATCTCCATGTATAATACATAAGGGGGGGATATGATCTCCATGTATAATACATAAGGGGGGGATATGATCTCCATGATATATACATAAGGGGGGGATATGATCTCCATGTATAATACATAAGGGGGGGGGATATGATCTCCATGTATAATACATAAGGGGGGATATGATCTCCATGTATAATACATAAGGGGGGGGGATATGATCTCCATGTATAATACATAAGGGGGGATATGATCTCCATGTATAATACATAAGGGGGGGGATATGATCTCCATGTATAATACATAAGGGGGGGATATGATCTCCATGTATAATACATAAGGGGGGATATGATCTCTCCATGTATAATACATAAGGGGGGGGGGATATGATCTCCATGTATATATACATAAGGGGGGGGATATGATCTCCATGTATAATACATAAGGGGGGGATATGATCTCCATGTATAATACATAAGGGGGGGATATGATCTCCATGTATAATACATAAGGGGGGGGGATATGATCTCCATGTATAATACATAAGGGGGGGATATGATCTCCATGTATAATACATAAGGGGGGATATGATCTCCATGTATAATACATATACTCCATGTATAAGGGGGGATATGATCTCCATGTATAATAATACATAAGGGGGGATATGATCTCCATGTATAATACATAAGGGGGGATATGATCTCCATGTATAATACATATAGGGGGGGGATATGATCTCCATGTATAATACATAAGGGGGGATCTCCATGATCTCCATGGGGGATATGTATAACATAAGGGGGGGGGGATGATCTCCATGTATAATACATAAGGGGGGGGGATATGATCTCCATGTATAATACATAAGGGGGGATATGATCTCCATGTATAATACATAAGGGGGGGATATGATCTCCATGTATAATACATAAGGGGGGGGGATATGATCTCCATGTATAATACATAAGGGGGGATATGATCTCCATGTATAATACATAAGGGGGGGGGATATGATCTCCATGTATAATACATAAGGGGGGATATGATCTCCATGTATAATACATAAGGGGGGATATGATCTCCATGTATAATACATAAGGGGGATATGATCTCCATGTATAATACATAAGGGGGGATATGATCTCCATGTATAATACATAAGGGGGGGGATATACATGATCTCCATGTATAATACATAAGGGGGGGATGATCTCCATGTATATAATACATAAGGGGGGGATATGATCTCCATGTATAATACATAAGGGGGGGATATGATCTCCATGTATAATACATAAGGGGGGGGGGATGATCTCCATGTATAATACATAAGGGGGGATATGATGATCTCCATGTATAATACATAAGGGGGGATATGATCTCCATGTATAATACATAAGGGGGGATATGATCTCCATGTATAATACATAAGGGGGGATATGATCTCCATGTATAATACATAAGGGGGGGGATATGATCTCCATGTATAATACATAAGGGGGGATATGATCTCCATGTATAATACATAAGGGGGGGATATGATCTCCATGTATAATACATAAGGGGGGATATGATCTCCATGTATAAATACATAAGGGGGGGATATGATCTCCATGTATAATACATAAGGGGGGATGATCTCCATGTATAATACATAAGGGGGGATATGATCTCCATGTATACATAAGGGGGGATACCATGTATAAGGGGGGATATGATCTCCCATGTATAATACATAAGGGGGGGATATGATCTCCATGTATAATACATAAGGGGGGATATGATCTCCATGTATAATACATAAGGGGGGATATGATCTCCATGTATAATACATAAGGGGGGATATGATCTCCATGTATAATACATAAGGGGGGGATATGATCTCCATGTATAATACATAAGGGGGGATATGATCTCCATGTATAATACATAAGGGGGGGATATGATCTCCATGTATAAATACATAAGGGGGGATATGATCTCCATGTATAATACATAAGGGGGGATATGATCTCCATGTATAATACATAAGGGGGGATATGATCTCCATGTATAATACATAAGGGGGGGTATGATCTCCATGTATAATACATAAAGGGGGGATATGATGATCTCCATGTATAATAATAAGGGGGGATATGATCTCCATGTATAATACATAAGGGGGGATATGATCTCCATGTATAATACATAAGGGGGGATATATGATCTCCATGTATAATACATAAGGGGGGATATGATCTCCATGTATAATACATAAGGGGGGGATATGATCTCCATGTATAATACATAAGGGGGGATATGATCTCCATGTATAATACATAAGGGGGGGATATGATCTCCATGTATAATACATAAGGGGGGATATGATCTCCATGTATAATACATAAGGGGGGGGGGATGATCTCCATGTGTATAATAATAAGGGGGATAGGGGGGGGATATGATCTCCATGTATATATAACTGGATATAACATTTATAGGGAAAGGTGATCCAGGGAATATCCGATTGCCTCTCGGGGGGTCAGGAAGGAATATTTCCCCTCCAGGAGCAAATTGGATCAAGCTTTTCTGGGTTTATTTTTGCCTTTCCTTTGTGGTTCTGCCATAATTATTGGGCCGCGACGGCCTTTCCAACACAATATGACCTTTCATGGCCCCCAGTCTTAGTCCGTAGGGTTCAATATTGAGTTGGCCCCGCCCTTTACACACACATGACCTTTAATGGCCCCCCCAGTCTTAGTCCGTAGGGTTCAATATTGAGTTGGCCCCGCCCTTTACCACACATGACCTTTAATGGCCCCCCAGTCTTAGTCCGTAGGGTTCAATATTGAGTTGGCCCCGCCCTTTGCAGCTATAACAGCTTCAACTCTTCTGGGAAGGCCGTCCACAAGGTTTAGGAGGGTGTCTATGGGAAGGTTGGACCATTCTTCCAGAAGCACATTGTCAGGTCAGGCATGATGTCGGGGGAGGGGGCACTGATGTCGGGGGAGGAGGCCTGGCTCACAGTCTCCACTCTAATTCATCCCAAAGGTGTTCTATGGGGTTGAGGTCAGGACTCTGTGCAGGACAGTCAAGTTCCTCCACCCAAAACTGGCTCCTCCATGTCTTTATGGACCTTGCTTTGTGTACTGGTGGGCAGTTTTGTTGGAACAGGAAGGGGCCATCCCCAAACTCTTCCACACAAAGTTGGGAGCATGAAATTGTCCAAAATGTCGCCTTAAGAGTTCCCTTCACTGGAACTAGGGGGCCAAGCCCAACCCCTGAAAAACAACCCCCATACCATAATCCCCCCCCCACCAAACTTTACACTTGGCACAATGCAGTCAGGCAAGTACCGTTTTCCTGGCAACCGCTAAACCCAGACACGTCCATCGGATTGCCAGAGAGAGAAGCGTGATTGGTCACTCCAGAGAACACATCTCCACTGCTCTAGTGTCCAGTGGCGGCATGCTTTACACCACGGCATCTGACGCTTTGCTTTGCACTTGGTGATGGAAGGCTTGGATGCAGCTGCTCGGCCATGGAAACCCATTCCATGAAGCTCTCTACACACTGTTGTTGGGCTCTCATCTGAAGGCCACACCAGGTTTGGAGGTCTTTAGCTATTGACTCTGCAGACAGTTGGTGACTTCTGCGCACTGTGCGCTTCAGCATGCGCTGACCCCCGCCCTGTCATGTGACGTGGCCTACCACTTGGTGGCTGAGTGGCTGTTGTTCCCAGTTTCTTCCACTTTGTTATAATACCTGTAACAGACCCAACCGAGACAGGGGCTTTTGGAGGGGACTGCAGGCTGGCCTCTTGCCTACTGACCATGGCAACTGGCATCTGAGAGGGCTCCATTCTTTAGTGTGTGGCTGGGGGGACCTTTAGAGTAACTTACTTGGATTTCAAGTCCATGTCTACCCAAAACTCACAGACTCTGAGAACTTAAAGGACCAACATACAGATTTGGGGTCTCTGTGCCCAATCTAGCATTGACTGCTTCAACCCCCCCTCTTTCCCAGACTCATACTCCTCTAAGAAGATGTTGATGTAATTAGCAAAACGACTCGATGTAAGGACTCTCGCTCTAATGTGTTTATTAAGGTGTGATGTGTTTAATATCTTCTCCCATTGTGCACCTCCTAGGTGTGCATTCCCATCGTTAATTGAGTCACCTATTGCGGGCCCTGTTGGCAAGTCCTCTTGGAGGGTCTCTACATGATGAGATTAGACTAATGTCAACTTCGTTATCTAATCAGTGTGGGATGTAATATTTTTTTTATTGTTCATGAGGGGACTGCCCCTATTTCTGGAGTGTATAAAATCTGTTTTTGTGTTCAATAAAGAGTTCCAGTTCAGAATCTAAGCTAATCTCATCTAGTCTTGGGTGCAATGCCCGGCTATAATTTCTTGGTCCTGGGTCCCAGTGGCGAGGAAGTGGTTCTCTGACGGAATCACTCACCCTGGGTGACAGGTGTTCTGTCACAATCCCCCTAACAGTTGAGCGTGGAATATTTAGTAGCCAGGAAATGTCGTGGATGGACTTATTGCCCAGGTGGCCACCTATTACGGGACCACACTTGGAGTCACTGAGCTCCTGAGAGTGACCCATTCGTTCACCAATGTTTGTAGAAGCATCTGCATGCCTAGGGGCTTGACTGTATGCACCTGTGTCCATGGAGGGGATTGGATCACCTGAATCACATGATATGGAGGGGATTGGAACACCTGAATCACATGACTGGGAGGGGGATTGGAACACTTGAATCACATGATATGGAGGGGATTGGAACACCTAAATCACATGATATGGAGGGTATTGGAATACCTGAATCAAATGATATGGAGGGGATTGGAACACCTGAATCACATGACTGGGAGGGGATTGGAACACTTGAATCACATGATATGGAGGGGATTGGAACACCTAATGATCAGGGTATGATATGGAGGGTATTGGAACACCTGAATCACATGATATGGAGGGGACTGGAAACACCTGAATCACATGATATGGAGGGGATTGAAACACCTGAATCACATGATATGGAGGGGATTGGAACACCTGAATCACATGATATGGAGGGGATTGGAACACCTGAATCACATGATTGGAGGGGATTGGAACACCTGAATCACATGATATGGGTGGGATTGGAACACCTGAATCACATGATATGGAGGGGATTGGAACACCTGAATCACATGATATGGAGGGGATTGGAACACCTGAATCACATGATTGGGAGGGGATTGGAACACCTGAATCACATGATATGGAGGGGATTGGAACACCTGAATCACATGATATGGAGGGGATTGGAACACCTGAATCACATGATTAGGAGGGGATTGGAACACCTGAATCACATGATTGGAAGGGGATTGGAACACCTGAATCACATGATATGGAGGGGATTGGAACACCTGAATGACATGATATGGAGGGGATTGGAACACCTGAATCACATGTTTTGGAGTGCATTGGCCAATACACCTTTGGCAATATAGCGTGAGATGGACTTTTTTTGGCCAGACTATGTAACTATGATCAGCTCTGGACCAGATGGTCCGGCTGGTCAATCAGAACTCCCGATGGGACAGGAGATCCTGGTAAACCACATAAGGTGACGGGAGGCAGGGATGACCCTCTCGCGGCTTGTAATAGCAATGAGTGGCTTGTTAGCCAGAGAACAAGAAAGCGGACCATTGGCTCAGAATAATGGTCCTGGGGTGGTTCAGCTGCGGGGATCATCTTGGTATAATGGATGGAACTCCAGCGATGTACGGATGTGTTGCTGAAGCCAAAGTGGACAGTGTAAGATATATCTGCTGAAAGTCCCTGAACACATGGGGAGGAGGGAAATTGTTCATTGAAATGAGAGAAAGAAAATGAGGTCGTAGGAGACGTTTCATGAAGACCATTGGTTACCCTTCTAGATCTTGAGGGGATCTTAGGTGAGACCCGTGTGTAGAGATTGGACACGGTACCTACATCTGTGCCGGGCAGGATTGGACCCTGGCCCCAGGAATCCTGGGGGATTGAAATGTATTTTAAGATGTCTATAAGCCGTTATGAAAAGTGAATAAAGTTCAATGAAATTCCAAAGTGATGTTGTCAGAGGAGGACCGGCTTAGGCAATTCTCCATGCGCTGCACCGTGAAGGTGTCCTCAATCTGTCTGTATCTGCATGTTCTGCTGATGATGCGATCTCCTGAATCCACGCACTGCGCTCTCTGTGCCTTCTCCCGGCACTTCTCTGATATAACCCCCTCCCCCCTCCCCGGAACGCTCTGATGACACTACCTAAATATGATTTTTCGGCAATTCATAAACTTTGGAGAAAAATGGCTTTAACTGCTTCCCGCCCACCAACAATGCATTTATTGCGGGGGTGGGCGGCACGAGCGGGCTGGGTGACACACATGTGCGTCTTTCTGCTTGTTGTGGGTTAGGGGCGTGCTTGCGTGTGTGCCCCCCGCCCCCCCTACTGATTTGTGCTGTCAGGCTACAGCAGGGTTTTGTCAGCAGGTCTCGGCCAATGGTTTATGGCTGAAACCTGCAGGTGGGTTGTAGCCAATCACAGCGAAGACTCCTGTGTTTACAAACACAAAGGGCTGTGTACCCAGATTAGTAATCTAGCTGATTCTTCTACCTGCAAAGCAGGGAGAAAAAACTGGCAGATCCGTTAGTAAAAGCAGCACATAGTACACACACTGCACTTGTTAGGCACACATTTAACCTCTTGATTGGCCCTTGATGTGTCATTAGTACAGTGTACATTATGTATTGTTACATTGTTACATTATATTGTTACATTGTATTATTGCATTATATTATTACGTTGTTACACATATTATTACATTATATTATTACATTGTTACATTATATTAAATTGTTACATGATAGTATTACATTGTTTTACATTATATTATTACATTGTATTATTACATTATATTATTACATTGTTACATTATATTAAATTGTTACATGATATTATTACATTGTTTTACATTATATTATTACATTGTTTTACATTATATTATTACATTGTTACATTATATTACATTCAATTATTAAATTGTTACATGATATTATTACATTGTTTTACTTTATATTATTACATTGTTTTACTTTATATTATTACATAGTATTTATACATTGTATAATATCTGATCACTGTATGAGAGATCACTAGTGATGTCACTTTCCATTAGTGTCCCTCCCAGCCAGTGTCTGTTAGCACCAGATTGCCCGCCACCCTATCGCAGCCCCACTGTAAGTCTGATCACCGCCATTACCAGTACAGCGTCCTAGCTGCGTAAATTCCAGTATATATCCCATAGTTTGTAGGCACTTTAACTTTCACACAATCCAATTAATATACACTTTTTTTTTTAACCAAAGACATGTAGCAGAATACATTTTGTCCTCAATCTACAAAGAAATTTTGTTTTTTTTTTTACATAACTTGTCTGACTTTTTTCATTTATATAATAAAAAAGTAAAAAAAAAACAGTAGTGATCAAATACCATTAAAAGAAAGATTTATTTGTGCGTGTAAATGATATCAACTTAATCTGGGTACAGTATTGCATGACAGCGCAATTACCAGTTAAAGTAGTGCACTACCGAATAGCGAAAAACAATGGCCCGGTCATGTGGGGGGGGGGGGTCAAATTTTTTTCCCGGAGGGCAAGTGGGTAAGGTTGAGGACATCTCTAGAACCAACATAACGTCTGATCTCATCTGGTCTGATTTGGCGTAAACATCCAAATAGCGGGAGGCCTCTGTTTCCCGGTAGCCCTAGGCCACCACCCAGAAAGCGCTAAAAAAGCAGACTTGGCTTTCAGGCCCCTCCCACTCATTATATCCAATATGGCCGTCATTCCACTTAACCAATGAAGCACACAGTACATACGGTAGAGAGGGAATTCTATCCTCGCACGTCTCTGTCATTTGGGGGCTTGTGGACATTTTACAGAAGTAGAAAATAATTAAAGAAATAAATCTGAGGAGAGAAGAGCAGAGAGAAGCTCTAATTTAGGAAAGCCAAAGTTGCAGTTTCATCAATCAGCGGGAGAAGCTTCGTAGGAGAGGCCTGACACTGAGGAACATAAACTGATGGCCCGGCTGCCTTTATTGCCTTTGCCGTGCGGAAACATAGAGAGGATGCTGTGATTGTTATTGTGTGATGGTGAGTTCCTGAACTTGTCTCACCGCTTCATGAAGAAATAATGGAAGTGTTTTCCAGAGAAATGTATTCCTGTCTCCCGGAGATATACAGTTGTGGCCAAAATTATTCAACCCCCACTGAAATTGAGTGTTTTGGCCAGTTTGACATTGCTTTTGATCATTCAGTCATCTTGCTTACATTTACATTAAAGAGGCACTTGTAGGTCAGACAAATATAACATAACAGTTTTATAATGAAATAACCACAAATGTCTTTTCTGTGCTCACAGCATTATCAGTTTTATTCAACCCCCAAGTGACATTCAATCTTAGTACTTAGTACAGCATCCTTTTACAGTTATAACAGCTTTTAAACGTGAAGCATAGCTTGACACAAGTGTCTTGCAGCGATCTACGGGTATCTTCGCCCATTCTTCATGGGCAAAGGCCTCCAGTTCAGTCACATTCTTAGGCTTGCGCACTGCAACTGCTTTCTTTAAGTCCCACCAGAGGTTCTCAATCGGATTTAAGTCTGGTGACTGCGATGGCCACTCCAAAATGTTCCAGCCTTTCCTCTGCAACCATGCTCTAGTGGACTTGGAGGTATGCTTGGGATCATTGTCCTGTTGAAAGGTCCAACGTCTCCCAAGCCTCAGGTGTGTGACGGACTGCATCACGTTTCCATCCAATATCTCCTGGTACTGAAGAGAATTCATGGTACCTTGCACACGCTGAAGCTTCCCTGTACCTGCAGAAGCAAAACAGCCCCAAAGCATGATTGACCCTCCACCATGCTTCACAGTAGGCAAGGTGTTCTTTTCATCATAGGCCTTGTTCTTCCTCCTCCAAACATAGCGTTGATCCATGGGCCCAAACAGTTCTAATTTTGTTTCATCAGTCCACAGAACACTATCCCACAACTTTTGTGGTTTGTCCACATGGCTTTTGGCATACTGCAGTCGACTCTTCTTATTCTTTGGAGACAGCAAGGGGGTACGCCTGGGAGTTCTGGCACGGAGGCCTTCATTACGCAGTGTGCGTCTTATTGTCTGGGCTGAAACTTCTGTACCCACATCTGACAAATCTTTTCTCAGTTCCTCAGCAGTCACACGGGGACTTCTCTCCACTCTACGCTTCAGGTAGCGCACAGCAGTCGAAGTCAGCATCTTCTTTCTGCCACGACCAGGTAGCGTTTCAACAGTGCCCTTTGCCTTGAATTTGCGAATGATGCTTCCTAAGGTGTCTCTTGGTATGTTTAACATCTTTGCAATCTTCTTATAGCCATTGCCCTTCCTGTGAAGAGAAATCACCTCTTCTCTTGTCTTCCTGGACCATTCTCTTGCCTTCACCATGTTTGTAACCACACCAGTAAATGTCTAGAAGGAGCTGAGTATCACAGTCATTTTAAAGCTGCCTAATTGGTGCTTATTATGCTTGATTGCTGCTCGGTGACATCCACAGGTGTTTTCAATACCTGATGGAAAGCACCTGTATGAACCTCTGTTCTTCAGAGTGGTAGTCTTTAAGGGGTTGAATAATTGTGGCAATGAAGAAACCACATAAGAACCATTTACTACTGTATTACATAAACAATTGATGTCATTTTAGTTGCATTTGGGTAGTTACAACGTCCTTGTAGGATTTGATTCTGAATACAATTCCAAATGTACACTATAGTCCCTAAACCCCTTTACAGCATTGGGGGTTGAATAATTTTGGCCACAACTGTATGGGTCAGCTCCTTCAGGTCAGTGATGGTCAGCTTATTAGATAAAAAGGGCCTCAAGTGCAGCTCCAGATATTGCCCCAGGGAGGAACATCATACTCAGCATTCATGCAGTACTACAATGACACGGTGCCAGGAAATGATCAACACCATGGACATGCTACAGGGGATGATCAACACCATGGACATGCTACAGGGGATGATCAACACCATGGACATGCTACAGGGGATGATCAAAACACCATGGACATGCTACAGGGGATGATCAACACCATGGACATGGGGGATGATCAACACCATGGACTGCTACAGGGGATGATCAACACCATGGACATGCTACAGGGGATGATCAACACCATGGACATGCTACAGGGGATAACCAACACCATGGACATGCTACAGGGGATGATCAACA